TGACGTGCTTGGCCGAATAAACCCTTTTGCCAGGAGGTAGTCCAGCTGGTTCCGCAATTCGTGTAACTCTGGTTGAGTCAGGCGCCACTGCGTGCGTACAGTAGGCTGCGCGTCGGGCTCCAGCTCGATTTTGTGGTCATGGGGTCGTTCGGGTGGCATTCCACTTGGCAAGTTGTCCGGGAAAATCTCAGGATATTCCCGAATGATTTTTGCCAAGTCATCCGGGACCGAAGCGCAGAGTTTGTTGATGTCGGTCGCCTCGTTCTGCTCCGTCGATTCGGTTAGATGGACGGCGTATAAATCCGTTCCATTCTTGACCGCTCGCTTGAGGCACACCGCGTTGACTCGTGTCGATGTTGTCTCTGCTTCCGGCCATGTGGGTAATTTTCGTCAGCCTTTGTCGCACTTCACTATGCACTGGCCTGTTGTCCAATCGATTTGCGGATTGAATCTTCGCAGCCAATCGCGTCCCAATAGCACATCGTAGCAGTCGAGTGTTGTTGCCAGCATCGGCGCGCTGAAGCCGAAATCTTTACGGGCGCGGGCGCGGGCCGGCTACAGGCGCCGGCGTGGGCCGGCTACGGGATGGGCAAGGGACGGGGTCGGCTAGGGGACGGGCGCGGGACGAGGCCGGCTACGGGATGGGCCGGCTATGGGACGGCCGGGCTAGCTAGAAGGCGGGACTGGCTAGGCGACGGGGCGTGCTGGGCGGCGGGGCCGGCTAGGCGACGGGGCTGGCTAGGAGACGGGCCAGCACGTGCGGGGCGGCTAGGATCTAGGGCGGAAGTGCTAGGGGGGAACTACCTACTCATGATACCATGTTAAAGTGAGAAATTTTTACTAGGACAGATCATACTGGGGTATATAGTCTAATGGATTGTACTCCCTAAGGCACAACCCTATATAGTCTACAATAACATACAATATATTGTTCAAATTATATAAGTTATAATTTAATATAGGCTTGGTAGGTTGTTACTGAACCTTTCTGTAGGGGGTACAAACCCCTCCTTGTACTCCCCTCTCTTCTAATCCAACCATCTTTTCTCTCCTCAACTTTCCTAGCACCTAAAACCTCTCGCCATTCTCATGGCTCCTCCTAGCTCCTAGCTAAACCTTGTGCCATTCTATGGCTTCCTAGCTAAGCTAGTTTCTGACATGGTATTAGAGCAGTTCGTTCCGCGTGGGCCTGCTCCTCGCGTTTCCCTGCGTGCTCGTTTCTCTCTCTATCTCGCGCTGCCATGGCGGCCGCGTCAAGCTGCTGTGGCCGCGTCGTCGTGCCGCGGCGCCGCCGTCGACGTCCATGGCGCCCGCGTCCAGCTGCTGTGGCCGCGCCGTCGTGCCGCAGCTCCGCCGTCGCGTCAAGATGCTGTCGCGACGTGACGGCGCCGTCACGCTGCCGCGGCGTCTACGCGACAGCGCGCGTTCGGCGTAACGGCGACGTCGTGCTGCCGTCGCAACGTCGACGCCCCGCTGCGGCATCGACGCCGCTCCATGACGGCGTCGTCGGGCTGCAGCCGGCCGCGTGACGCTTGTGGCGCCGCTAGACCGGCCGCCCGCATGTCAGCCTGTGGCGCCCCCCCCCCCCCACCCTCCTTCCCTTGTGCCCTCTTCCATTCCGCAGACGACGGCTGACTCCCGCCGGCCGTCCCACCGTCGCGGGGCCTGGCCACGTCACCGAGAGGTGCGGGTGCCGCCGCCGCTGCCGCTGTTGTCGAAGCCGCCGCCGCCGCCGCTGTCGCCGCTTGCGTCGGGGCCACGCAGCCGCACGCCGCCGCCGCACCGCTGTCGACACTGCCGCCGCTGCCGCCGTCGCCGCCGCAGCCCCTGCGGTCGACGTCGCCGCCTCACGCGCCGTGGGGTCGACCGACCTAGAGTCGCTGTCACTGTGGCTGGAATGGGGGTGCTAGGTTAGGGGGTGTGGGTGTGTGTGGGCATGTGACTACCAAGCCTAGGGGGTGTGTTCAAATTATATAAGTTATAATTTAATATAGGCTTGGTAGGTTGTTACTGAACCTTTCTGTAGGGGGTACAAACCCCTCCTTGTACTCCCTCTCTTCTAATCCAACCATCTTTTCTCTCCTCAACTTTCCTAGCACCTAAAACCTCTCGCCATTCTCATGGCTCCTCCTAGCTCCTAGCTAAACCTTGTGCCATTCTATGGCTTCCTAGCTAAGCTAGTTTCTGACATATATGTTTGACACTTATACATTGCTGCGTCATTCCATTGTACAACGTTGAGTTATTCACAGTTTCGTTACTTCATTCCGCGCTACTCTGTAAATTCACCCATAACAATAATCGTGTAATGAAATTATACACGTACAATGCCAAAAGCGCTGATGCACTTCATATATATTCAATGCTCTTTTTTCTATATACGATCATTCTTGTCACCAATTCAAAACATGAGATTGCTTTCTTAGGGCGTGTCCCAACTTGAACAGAAATTTAGATGCATTGTAGTCTGGAGACTACTGTATTCCACAAAGCAGCTGTCTAGTATTGTATCGCGACACGGAGACAGCTGATTTTATTTATTTGTTTGTTTATTTATTCAACCAAAATTTCCACTTATCCGAATGTTCGTGGCTGAAACCTCAAGTGGTGTCTGCCCCAATCCATCATGCCATGAAAGCACGAGAAACCCAATTAGGGGTCACGATTGGTGACAGCTCCTCCGAGCTCCGCCTCCACCCACAGGACAGCGTATCCACCTCTACAGCACTGTGGTGAGGCGGGGTGGCAGCCAGCCCAACTCCTCAAATCAAGGAGACAGGTAGGCAAGGCACATGCTCATCAAAACACTTCCGAAGTGCCCAGCAACATCCGTCAACATTACGGATCTCGACGCACCGAGCTGGAAACTTTATGTACCCAAGCTGAAACTTATGCACCGTACTGAAATGACGTTGGATGTCAACAACATCTGTCTACATCCCGCTTTGGACACGCTCTGCTAAGCGTGGTACCGGGCGAAATGCCCGCCACAGCACCTGTTTTGTGAAGTTTTGAGCGCACATGACCGAGATTGCTCAAGGCCTCGCTGGCTTCACCCCTTGGCCCTGGGTGAGTTTCCAAAAAGCTGCCCCATGCTTGCGCAGCAACGATTTTCGCCGCTCTTAGTGACAGATTCGCAAATCCTTGCCCAACACCCACCGGGGTCGCGCGTGACTGGCTGCACTCTGGTTTGCTGGACATCTGAAGCCACATCATTGGGCTGAAATAAACGCGCGTTTGCAAGGATGCGCCTCGACGTGTCGAAGCGCACATTGCATTCCTTGTTTATCCTCATCCCCCCAGCCACCCTCCCTGACTCGACTTCGCCCCTGCGCTGGCATCTGATTGCGGTTGGGTGAGATGCGTTTTGAGTCAGTAGGATCAAATATCAATCTAAAACGGTTAGGTAGGGTGTTGAGGAAAACCGTTCGTTTCCGACACCCTCATCTACCTGCTTGGCGTGGCGGGGCTTTGGGCTTTGGGTTTGTTTGCAATCCAGCACGGCACCGGCCACGATAATTTGATGGGACTCCGCTCGCCTGTCCCACATCCCTCCAGCAGCCCCATCTCCTATACACTCGCGTGGCTCCATTCACTCGCCTTCTTTTTTCCTTGTTCGCCACCCCCTACCCCGCGATCCAAGCGCGTCTTCCTGCACGTCACATGGAGGTCCTCATGGCTGTCGAGAATGGCGGTAGCCAGGAACTTTGCAGGCGAGTCCACCAGTCCATGGGAATCATCCATCAAACTCTCGCAATGTACAGGTAAGCTCGTGCTACTAGCCGATTCGCCTTTTCTCGCAGCTTGTACTTTCGTGCGTGATCCAAGCAGCTGATCCTTTTATCCCCCGCGTGTAGGCTCCAAGAGGTGGCCTTCAGCTTCAACGGAGGGAAGGATTCCACGGTGCGTCTCGTTATTCGCAATTCGATCATCGTTTTTGCCGGTGCTTCCGAAGCAGTTCACACTTCGCCATCGATCTTCGCGCGAACGTGCTCAAAAGGCCCATTCTTTCTCGGGTGCCCCCATGCAGGTCATACTGCATCTCCTACGCGCGGCACTCGCACAGAAGTCGCAAGTGCTGCCGCGCTCGTCGTCGTCGCCCGGCCTGGAGCTGCAGCCTGTCTCGCAACGCCCGCTGGGCAAGAGTCTGTCCAAGGTCGCGTCGTTCGGCATCTCGCAGCGCCAACCCGAGTGCGGTGCCGACGGGCTATGCGCCATCTACTTCCGCGACCGCGAGGCCTTCCCCGAGATCGACTCCTTCACCATCGCCATGGCGCGCAAGTGCGTGCGCTCTCCCTCACCCGTCAACCTCAATGTCGTCGTGCCTTTCGCCACCATCGCGCGCTCAACTTCCGATTTTTTTCCGGCCGTGCGGCCATCTCATGTCACTCTTGCCCCCCCCCTCTTCCCACCCTCTCCGTGGGCGCGCCACGGCGCGGCGGCAGGTACAAGCTGGACCTGGTGGAGACGGGCGACGCCTTCAAGCACGGGCTCGCGGCGCTGCAGCAGCAGCGGCCCGTCAAGGCCATCTTCCTGGGCGTGCGCAGCATCGACCCCAACGGAGTGAGTTCTCGCACAATCTGCCCGCTCTTCCCACGTCGCGTCCCGTCGTTTCGAGGAGATTTACTCGGACTTCCCATTGTCCCCATGGAATTGTGGTCCCGTTACCGCAGAAGGGTCAGGAGGTGTTTGCGGCGAGCTCGCCCGGGTGGCCGGCGTTCATGCGCGTGAACGTGATCCTCGACTGGACGTACCGCGACGTGTGGGAGTTCCTGCTGCTCACGCGCGTGCCCTACTGCTGCCTCTACGACCAGGGGTACGTCCGCTCTCGCACTCCCTCGTGGGCCCTGCCTGCGCACATCTACTTCCGACAACTTCTGTTTGCCTCTGTCTACCTCTGTCTACCTCTGTCTGCCTCTGTCTGCCTCTGTCTGCCACTGCCTGCCTCTGTCTGCCTCTGTCTGCCTCTGTCTGCCTCTGTCTGCCTCTGTCTGCCTCTGTCTGCCTCTGTCTGCCTCTGTCTGCCTCTGTCTACCTCTGTCTGCCTCTGTCTGCCTCTGTCAACCTCTGTCGGACCGCACCAGCGATTCTCGCCATGGAGTCAGCATTGCTTGCGGCCGTCTCTCCTCGCCCCCATGTGCGCGCCCCATCAGGTACACGTCCATAGGAGGCGTCCACGACACGCTTCCCAACGACGCGCTCCATGTCACCGACACCACGCGCTGGATGGCCTCTGCCTCGCACCCGCCCGCCCTCTGCCCCTCGCTCTGGCTGCTCGCCTGCCGCCAGATGTCCCTCACCCGCACCTGCACCTGCTGCTGCTGCTCCCAAGCCCCGCCTGCCCAAGCACCCCTCTCCGCCCCTGCCCAGTCCTCTGAGGTGGCTACGGTGCTGCGCACGGCCCGGGGGAGGGGAACGCACCTGCCGGCCTACTTCCTTGTGCACGAGGAGCTTGAGAGGGTCGGGCGGGGGAGGAGGGATGAGGGTGCGAGAGGGACGCAAAAAAACGTGGGAAACAAGGTGGGGGAGGAGGACACAGCGCGAGGCAGTGAGGTCCCCTTGGGCGACGCGTGTGCGGTGGAGAAGGCAGAGGCGCCTGGGGATGGAGCGACAGGTGCTGGTCGCACGGGAGTGGCATGGGGGCACTGGTGGTGGCGTGATGCAGTGGCACTCAGTGTTGGTGCACTCACTGATGCGCCTGCCAACAACCACTATGCAACTCATCCTCTCACGCTCCTGCTGCACTGCTATGGCTTGTCACTGCACAGCTCTCACAGGGTGTGTTGGATGCTTCTATCTGCAGCAGTGGGCCCTCATGAAGGTGTTGCTGATGCCGCACACTGCAATTTTCCGTGTGTCGCCTGCATGCCACACGGGCTGTCAGCATGCAGGGGCACAAACTCCTGGTGTTGTGGGGCCATGCAGCAGGTTCACTTGGGAAGCACAGAGCTGACCTACAATGCTTCCTGTTCTCCTACCTCGCCACAAGTGGGTGCCAGAGGATCAGCAGGCTGACCCCAATGAAATTTTGCTTGCTTTGCTGTATGTTTATGTATATATATGATAATATAGTGCACTCGTCAGCACCGTACTAAAGCATTACTCCTGCAGCCTAGCTGACAGAGGAAACCCACTTGAGCAAGAGCACTGGCCATCAGGCATCAAAGACAACTGCTGTGCAATACTAGACCACCATTGCTACACCACACCATGTTTCACCTCTTCACACACCAGTTATGACGCAAAAAAACCGGTAGGCATGCTTATGCCACTACCTGGTGGCAACCACTTCATAAATTTGCACCAAACCACAGCCTACCAGTTTGCAACCTACTGCCATCTATCCCTACAGGGAGGCAGAAATAAGCAGGCCTACTTCCCCCATGGCGCTTCTTCCTCTTTAGGTCCTTCCCTTTCTCTCCCGATTTTTTCCGCCTCCTCACCTGTTGCCTCCCACCGCTCCTCCCTTTTCTCCTGCTGCTAACTTTAGCTATCTGCAGTGCCGTGCTCCTACTCCCTGCACCCACCCTCCCACCACCCCCTCACCCTGCCCTGATCTCACTCCTCCCAGTTTTCCCAAGCCCTTCTCCTCCTCCCCTCCCCCCTCCTCCTCGCTGCCCGCCCTCCCCTCGTCCCCTGTGTGCCAAAGTCGGTAGTGACAGTAACGAAGGTCTCCAGGCTGCCACTGTCGTAGTGTAACACTGCGGGGCAGCACGCGGGCAAGCAGGGCCATGGGAGGCGGCACAGCGCACAAGCATCATTGGCGTCCACACACACAGAGGACGCAAAGCGTACAGACAGGGAACACAACAGTAGCGGGCGGGCAACAGGGATGAAGAGGCGCGGGCAGGAAAGCACACGGCATGGCTTACCGACAGGAGCAGCAGCAGGCGTGCGGCCGAGCGATAACAACCTCTCATTCTGCCGCCCGAAGTCTGCTTCCTCCTCATCGTCCACCTCATCCCCTTCCCCACCCTCCTCTCCTCCCTCTTCCTCCTCCACCCCTCCTCTTCCCCCTCGCCCTCTACCCCGGCTCGCTCCTCGCCCTCCGGCCCCACCTCCCCCCGCCTTCTTCGCTGCCAGTCGTCGCTGCGGAGTTGGGAAGGCGAGCAGGGGGGAAAGCGCGGGGAGAAAAGGGAAAAGCGCGCAGAGCGAGAAGGAAAGGGAGAGGCGGGGGAGAGGGAGGCGTAAGAGGGGAGGAGGCATTGGGGGCAAGGGAGTGGGGTAGAATGGGAGTGGCGAGGCGAGAGGTATAGCCCGAAGTGGATGAGGCAAGCAGGCGGCGATAGAGGGAGGCGAGGGCGGGAGCAAGGCAGAGCGGCTGACCTCCGCCCGCTCCTGCAGGTGTTTCTGCCGCTTCTTGCGCTTCTGCTTCTCCTCCGCCACTCGCCGCCGCTCCACCTTGCGCTTGTGAAACCCCGTCACGAACTCCCTGCGCACCGCGCGGGTTCAGGGTTCAGGGGCCAGGGGTCAGGGGTCAGGCTTTGCTCGAGGGTTCACGAAGGGTCGTAATGAACGACGAGCAAGGGGAAATGGGGGGAGAGGCAGGACGGGGGAGGTTTGGCGACAGCAGCGCGGAGCGCGCATGGTGGGCATGTGGGCGTGGGGAGCGGGCGCGGGCGGAGAGCGCACCTCCTGGCGTTCTCGTCGAAGGACACGGTGATGCCCGTGTTCTTGCGCTTGCGCTTGCTGATGTACGGCAGGAACGCGCCCGCCCCGCCTTCCTGCTCCTCCTCCCCATCCATGGCGCCTGCTGAACGCCCGCCAGGCGAAGAGAAGCAGCTGAACTAGGGTGTGGAAATGACGGCGCGACGGGCAGAAGTTGTGCCCCCTCAAGGCAAGTCGAACGCGTTTGTGAACGGGAGGCCCACATGCGCCGATGTACTGGTATTGGAGAAAACAACACCTATAAATTGGAGTTATGAGTGTTCTGTGCGGTGTTTAACAAGTTCCATTACAATGAAATTTCAAGTCACAAGCATTGGGATGAATAATATATTAAAGCAATGAAAACGATTATCTACGGCATCTGAGTGGCCTGACGCCCTGGCATTTGAGTACCCACCCACGACTAGCTGACCTCGTACATCCCCTGAAAGAACTTGACTGGATAGGTCTGTTTAGCTGTCAGTCAGGCTCTGCAGCATGGCTAGAGGCAGCGACCCATGCATGTGTGATTCCTAGTGGAAAAAAAGGCATGGCGAGCTGATGACTCATGACTCATCATGGTGCAGGGATGCGCGACAATTCCTTGTCAAGGAGAGGCACATAGCGAGGATTCATGTGCGTTCCGTCAAACTCAAACTCGGGACGCAGGGACTCTGCAAGACGAGCAAGCGAGCGGAAGGAGTTAGCATAAGAACATGCAACGGAAATGCCTAGGCGGGAACTACCATCTATTGAGGACACATCATCAAGCACTAGGTTTTTAGAGTCCCACCCACACAGAGAGAGTCCCAGGCTTGAAACATGGATGCCAAAGACCACATGCACACTTGCCTTGACTCATAACACACCAACAGGCCACTGGGAAGATGCACTATGCCCCTCTCACCCACGCTCGCACCGCTGCTCCATGGCACAGCCCCCCATACCTTGGTCATGAGTGAGCAGGGCGGGGAAGAAGTCCAGCATGTGCAGCCGCCCCCCGGCAGCAGGGGAGGCGGCAGCAGCCAGGCAGCGGCGGCGCAGCGTGGCGTTGTAGATGCGGGCGAGAGGGCGCGTGTCAGGGATGATGGATGGCACGGGGTGCACGAATATCTCAAAGCCGCGCGCCGCAATGAGCGAGAGCAGCGCCGCCAGGTAGATGTCCACCGTCACCTCCACTCCCTCCTCCACGTCCTGGCGCGGAAAAAGGGGAACTCAGAGAGAGAAATGAGAGGCAGAGCAACGGCAGAGAGGCAAGGTGCTGCGCAGCACCAAAGTTGGGGGTTGGACGACGGCAGGTGGAGGCAGGGCGATGTGCAGGGCAACAAGGTGTGACGGCAGCAAGGGCGCATGGGGACTGGTGCAGTGTGGGCATGGTGGGGTTGCCGGGAGCAGGGAGAGGGGTGGGCGAAGGGGCCTTGCATTGTACTTGTTGCGGTCGACGGACACGAGGATGCCCTCACGGCAGTCAATCTCCCCAAACAGCACCACCACCTCGCTGCCTGGGGGCACGCACTGCATGGCGCGGTGGAACGACGCCTGGCACGGCGAATGGCACACACACACATGGGGGGGCAGCAAGTGCAGGAGGCAGGCGCAGAGATGAGTGAAAGAGATATGAATGCGGGAGCGAACAGTTGAAGAAGAGAGACAGCAGGCGGGGTAGGAAGAGAGGCGAGGGAGTGCAGATGACCTTGGGGAAGAATGTTGACTCGGGGCGCAGGTGCCACGCCTTGAGACCCGTGATTAGCAGCGGGCACAGCAGACGTGGCTGGCCCCTCAGATGCACCACCGCCGCCATGCTGCTGCCAGACAGTGGCTGTCGCCTGTTGGAGGGGTGAAGGGGAGAAGTATGGCCCTTGAAGGGGAACGAACATGCGGTGACGACACGTGCACTGCCTGAGGCGGTGACATGCTCTACTGGTGCACGAACAGAGAACGGGCAGAAAAAGCAGCAATGGAGGTGAGGACGCAAGGCAGGAGCAGAGGATGGGATGGGAGGAGGAGGAGGAGGGAAGGAGGAAGGAAAGGAGGGAGGAATACAGAGGTTTACAGAGAAGGAGGGAGGGAAGAGTATCATTCGCTTCAGGCCCGCTGAACTGACCTGCAAGGAACAGTGGTGGTGGGGAGTTGTGCGAGAGGGAGTGTGTGATGGGGTAGTGTGTGAGCAGCTGGAAGGCGCAGCCGAAGTAAGCGGCCTCATTGCGGATGAGCGTCTCGTGCAGCGGCACCTTGGACGCCACCCGCGCTCGCTCCACCAGCGCCCCCAGCGCCTTGGCGCGCCGCACGGCCCCCCCCAGGAAGAGCGCCTTCACCGCCGTCATGAGCATGGCCAGCACGTCCAGCTCCTCCGACCTGTACTCCTCCGTGCCCTCCCCTGCTCCCACACCCTCGCCCTTGCCTCCTCCTCCCGCACCTGCGTCTGTCCCCATGCCAGCACACGCATCTGCTCCCCTACCATTTGCCCCAGCCTCGCCACCACCCCCATCCTGCGAGCCCCCACCATCCCACCACCGCAGGTACTCCAGCTGCACGCCCCGCTCATGCGGGCAGGGCGAAACATCCTCGCAGCTGCCTGCGTGGAGAGGCAGCCCTTGGAAGAAGGGCAGCAGCGCGGCGAGCGTGATAGGGCCGAGCCGGAAATCAGGGTGGGCGTGGCAGAAGGAGAGGGCGAGGTGCAGCGCGGCGCAGCCATGCAGCATGACCTCGTGCAGGCGTGCAGCAGCGCCAGCACGTGGCTGCAGCACCCGGGGGTGAGCGCCACGGCGCGCTGCATGAGCGCCAGGGCGGCGTCCAGCGCGCTGTGGTCCTTGCACGCCGAGGCGAAGAACACCAGCGCGCGCGCCGTATCTGCGGGGGGCCTGCGCCCGACTGCAGCTGCGAGAGCAGCAGGCGGCGCGCAGAGGGGTGGTGCTGCAGCACATGGGCCATCTTGGCACGCGCTGTGGCATGGTGGGGCGCGCCAGCAGCACTCTCAAATACGCCTTCATCGCCTCCTCCTCCACACTCCCCCTCCCCCCTCATTCTCCTCGCTCTGTGCTCCACAGCCATTGGGGCTTTCCGCTGGTTGTCCATGTGGCGTCTGCTTGCCTGCCGTCTGCCGCAGCAGCACATCCCCATAGAGCACGAGCGCGTCCTCGTGGTGCTCGTCGCCCTGCAGCACACCCGCCACCACGGCTGATGCCACATCCACCGCCCCCACCTGCAGCAGCGCACGCCCACACACCACCTTAATGTCGTCCAATGAGAGATCGCCATGCGGATCACCCACGTAGGGACTCTCCACATCCCATGCTCCCCCCGCGCCACGCTTGCCCCTGCCACCCTCCCCACCCTCCCCTCATCGTCGTCCTCCTCCTCCTCGGGCAGACCAAACATTTCGGCAGCCTGCTGTCCGCTGACCCGCGCCCGTTGCATCATTCTAGAGGCGCTCTGCCTGCTGCCCAGCACGCCCACCATGCCCCGCGCCCCCCCCCCTGGCCCGCCACGCCCCTCCTGCGCGTGCTGTGCTGCGGCCACCCCTGCTGCGACGCGAGGGAGAGAGCGCGGTCGGCCAGGGAGAGGGCGTCGCTGGGCTGCGCCAGGTGCAGGGTCGCCTGCGCCAGGCGCAGCACCAAGAGCGCGTCTGATGGGTGCGCTTCCACGGCGGCCTGCAGAACTGGCAGGGCGCGGTCGTGGCGGGATATGGCCATGTGCATGGCGGCTGGGGGGGGGGTGCGGGGGGAGGGGAGGAGGGTCGGGCGGAGAGGTGGGGGAAGCAGGAGAGAGAGAGAAGAAATGGTGCTGCTTACTTTTATGGGATGCACCAGTTGTGATGGTGTGTGGTGTTTAAGGAGGTGTTGAATGTGATGCATGCCATGCGGTGGTGCAGCAGCATGATGTGTGCGCAGCACACACAAACCCCTAAGCCCCCCACGTCCCCTCTCTTCTGCCCACTCACCAAGCCCGGTAGCAGAGCTTGAGGTTGGGAGCCACAGCGAGCAGCTGATTCGCCAACAGAATGGCATGCTGAACGGGGTCAGAGAAAACGGGAGGGGGACAGGGAGGTAGGAGTAGAGCTAGCATAGGTGGATTGTGTGTAACCATGCTACCTCTCCCCTTCCCCAGCCTGCTTACCCTTACCCCCTCTTCCACCTCGATCTCTCTCCATTATTGAGGCGCCTCAAAAATACACACACAGTGTCACTCATGGAAGAAGGAGTGCGAAGCAAGCGTAACCCAAGAGGAGCAGACTATAGGCCAGGATGACATCCTTGAAGAAACGGCCCAGCAAGCACCCGAGTGCAGCACGGCACTGGCAGGAAGCCGGGCATTCCACTGCGGCACTCTACTGCCCTTCCCACCCCCCACGCCACACCCCAGCCCTCGTACCCTGTACTGGCCCTGCCTCTGCGCGTGCAGCATCTGCTGTGCTGCGTGGCGCACCAGCGGCAGGGTGAGAGGCGACTGGCGGAAACAGGGGCGGGCAACAGGAGGGATGGAGAGAGGGGGCAGAGAGGGGGAGCAAGGGGAGGGGCTCAGTGGTGGTCTGCGAGCAACGCAGAGCAGGCGGGTACATGAGAGCAGACGCGGACGACGAGGGCGGCAGCAGGCATAGAATGAGGGGGTGAGAGGGAGGCGAAGCAGGGAGAGCAGTGTGAAGGGCAGAGCACAGGCGGGGATAGCACCTCGGAGAGGGGTGCAGCTGGGGTTCGGGGGATGGCGGCAGCAGGCGCAGAGCGCACAGTGGATGAGGGGCGGCTGGCGGGGGCGGGTGAGGGAGTGGCGGCGGCAGCAGGTGGAGAACGGGCGGTGGGAGGCCCCACGGTCATGGCGCTCACGCCATGGGACAGCGCTCCCACTGCTACCTCCTTCCCACCCTTCTCCGCCCCCACCTGCTGCTGCTGCTGCTGCTGCTGTGCTGGTGGCAATGGTTTGAGCGTTGCAACTTTTTGACGAACAAACAAGTCGTCGCTGGTGTGTGGGGCATGCATGGCCGTGTGGAAGGGACAGAGAGACACAGCGGAGGGAGCAGGGATGATGTTGTAATGGCACATGGATGGTGGCACATGGCACATGGACGGTGGCACATGGCACATGGACGGTGGCACATGGCACATGGATGGTGGCACATGGCACATGGATGGTGGCACATGGCACATGGATGGTGGCACATGGCACATGGATGGTGGCACATGGCACATGGCACATGGATGGTGGCACATGGCACATGGATGGTGGCACATGGCACGTAGCCTGCTTCAATGGCCCAACGATAGCAGCTCACTCCCACTTGCCCACTCACAGGTCATGTGCTGCCCACTCACAGGTCATGTGCTGCCTTGCTCAGTACCGCAGTGGGAGGAAGTAATTGACCCCTGCATGCCATGGTGTGGTACGGCAGAGCGACGGGCGGAACGGCAGGACAGGAGATGAGGTGGAGCAGTGGCAGAGCGCAAAAGAGGGCGAGAATGAGTGCGGAGCGGACAGAGCGCAACATTGGAAAGTGAATGCTATGTGGTGGATGGGGTGCATGGCCAGTGGAAGCAACACAGGGCATGCGGCTCATGGGGTCATGGGGCATGCGGCATGGGCTCACCTTGCTTTGTGGAGGGAGAGAAGCGAGGGTGAGAGCGGGGCATGGGAGGGGTGCTGTTGGGGGCATGGCGGGTTGAGTTTGACGTGCATGGGGCAGCAAGCAAGGCCAAGTGGACGAGGATAGGGACGGAGACGGGGGTAGGGCAATGAGAGGAGGGTAGTATTGCGAGACAGGAATAGTTTACTGAGTGTAAGACGGCGGCAGTTTACTGAGACGGGGGGCAGGCAGGGAGTATGGGAAGATGGGAGGATGGGGATATGGCGGCATGGGAATATGGGTTTGGATATGAAAGTATGCGGAGATGGGAATATGGAACATTGGGGATAGGGGAACATGGGAATATGGCGATTCGGAAGATGAAGAACATGGCAACATGGGACTGGGGAAGCTGCAGAGGCAAGGGGGATTGGGGAAGCTGAGAAGGAGGGGGGGCTGGGAGGTTGGGAGGCAGGGGAGGCTGGGGAAAGTAGGGAGGCCAGGAAGGCACAGGGGCTGGAGCACAGGGCGGGATGGAACAGGAGAATTGTGCTGAGCGCAGGAGGGATGTGCTGAGCGCAGGTGGCATGTGCTGAGCGCAGGTGGCATGTGCTGAGCGCAGGTGGCATGTGCTGAGCGCAGGTGGCATGTGCTGAGCGCAGGTGGCATGTGCTGAGCGCAGGTGGCATGTGCTGAGCGCAGGTGGCATGTGCTGAGCGCAGGTGGCATGTGCTGAGCGCAGGTGGCATGGGTATGCGCGCACCTTGGCGTTGAAGGCGGAGGCGAATCGCTGCAGGGATGGGGGACGAGTGCACGTGGGGGAGAGGGAAGGCGGGGAGAGGGAATGAAGAGGATGGCGCACGGGATTGCACGGGGGGGACGGCGAGTCACGAGGAACGGGGCGGTACCCGAGGGGGAAAGCCAAGGAGGGAGGGAAAGGGAGAAAGAGAAAGAGAGAACGGCGGGGAGCAAAGCTCTCGTCATCACAGTAATGAATTTCTCTACCCTCCTACGCCCCTACCCGCCCGCCCCCCGCCCCCACCTCGAGCAGCTCGCCCGCTGTGCGCACGCCGCTCTTGTCGCCTGCGGTCGTCGCGACGGCGCGATCAGCGACGACGGCGATGAGCGTGAAGTGCGGGTCGCCGTCCCAGTGCGCGTACACCTTCATGGCGCCTGCCGCGCCAATTCAGAACTCTCTAACGCAAGCCTCGAACCTCAAGCACACCTTGCTGCCTCGTGCCCGCAACTCATGCACCCTGCGGGACTGCCCTCGTGTTCGCGCAGCGCCCGCGCAAACGGCAGGTTGGGCGCTGGGAGAAGGGCGGAAGGAGTGAGAGCAGCGCGGATTGATGCGCCGCGTGAAATTGCGCCAGATATGCGCGATGCTTAGAATGGTCTGTACAGATTTGTTTTTGTGTAGCGTTCTTGCCAACACAAATGTGTGCTTTGTTGCAACAAAATCTTTCCCCTTTCCCGTTCTTTCCCCTTTCGAGTTCCCCATGTCGGTTGTGTTCTGCAGGTAGCGGGTTTGGCGGCGGAGGTGAAGTTCAGGAAGGAGCGCTTGTCGTTTCGCATGCAGTGGTAACCACCCAAGCCACTTTGGGCCTTCCCAAACCAGGCCGTGAAGCTGCGCAAGTGGTGTCGTCAAGGGCAAGGGTACCCTGACTCCACCACGTCCCCCTGCGGTTTTGGCGGAGTCCACTTGGAGGTGCGGCAGAGTCCACAGTTGCCTGGGCGCGAATCTGCCCCCCGACCTTCGTGAACTCAACCTCTGCGTTGAGGTGTGTGCGTTCTGCAGGCAATGCTACTCTTCTAGGTTCGGACAGCTCGAGGTTGGTTTGGCACTTTTTTTCGGGCTGACCCAGATACCGGACCAAAAAAACGCTGTTTCGGAACCTTCTGGACGCGACTTGGAACCTTCCAAAATTGCCTGCAAAACGCAGCCGTCACCCCCAGCTCTCTCCAGTCCCTGCTCCTCTGCACCCCGCCGCCACACCCACCTCTGCCCCCCGATCCACGTTGACCCGCCCTCCGCCGTGGCAGCTGAAGCGGGCGAGTTCGGGTGGCGGCCAGCACGCAGCGTGCATCGCGGCCAACACGCAGTGCTATTGGCCGACTGTAGTGTGGCGTGACGGGCGCAGCGAGCGCGAGAGCGGGGCAGGCATGGACGACGCTGTGCCCACGGGCGGGTGACGGACGCCCAGGCCACGGGCGTGGCCGCGTCCAGCCGACAGGAGGGCACGGGCGACGGGCAGGCGTCGCAGTGCGACGGGCGACGGCTGCGATTCTTCGACCATGCGATGCGCAAGGCGTGCTGGGAGAAGGCGGACGTCGTTCCTGGCCGCCACCCGGACAGGTGTGCTTTTTGAGTCGACTCAAAAGTCATGCAGCACGTGCGCTCCTGCCATCCACCTCACATTTGCAGGGTATTTTTGAGAATTCTCAAAATTACCCGGACAGGTATGCCACGGCGCATGCGCGCTCCTGCCATCCACCTCACCTCCCCTCGCATCCGCTCTCTCTCCCCTCCGCTCCTCGTCTCTTCTCGCCTCCCCTCCTCTCCTCTCTCGTCCCGCCCTGAAGCTCTCTCCCCCTCCCCCGCACGTGCGGCCCGCATGGAGTTGGCCGGCAGGTGGCGCGTGGATGCGGCGGGCAACACGGTGGCGCGGCGCTTCAACGCGTGCCAGGGGTGCCTGTGCTACGAGTTCGACCACATCGTGCCCTACTCCAAGGGTGAGCCCACCAGGGCCGCCACGCTGACACGGGCGGAGTGCGGTCAGAAGTGAGCTGCAGCAGTGGTGCAGATCGGTAACAGTGTAACGCAGAGAGCGATTAGCAGTGGTGCGATTCGCAGTGGAACGCAGTGGTGCTTGTGATGGCGTGCTTGCTCTTACCTTCCACGACCCCAGGCCGCCACAGCGTGCCATGCATGCGCCATCCATCTGCCCCATCCTTCAACATCCCTGCCATCCCTGCCATCCCTGCCATCCCTGCCATCCCTGGAGCAGGTGGGGCGACATCGGTGGAGAACTGCCAGCTGCTGCAGACGCGGGTGAACCGCTTCAAGTCCGACAAGGACCAGCTGTCGCCGCAGGAGTACTCGCACGCCTCCTGCCACCTCACGCTCACTGGTAACTTGTAACCGCTGCGCTCTGCTCCCTGCTCCGTTATGCGTCTGCCTCGTGCACCGCCAACCATGCGCACCACCAGATTGCCTCACACCCACCTCTCATGCGCCCCACACTCAGGCCGTCCTCGCCCTACTTCCCTATCCCCCCCCTCTCCCCAGAGCGCGACCTGGACCTGGTGGAGATGGCGGTGTACGGCGACGTGGTGCGCCCGGGCCTGCAGTGCCGCGTCACCACCGTCGCCGAGGCCCTGGGCGTGCTGCCCGCGCCCATGCACCGCCGCCGCCACAGCAAACCGCAGCACCAGTATGGCGCCTGCCAGTGGGCGGACGCGGGCAGCGAGCAGGGGAGCGCGCCGTGGGGCAGCCAGGCAGCCACACAATGTGAGCTGGCAGCAGTGCGTGGTGGGTGTGCGGCAGTAGGAGGGTGAGAGGAAGTGTTCGCAAGGGAGATGTCTGCGGCGTGCAGCCACTGCGTGCACGTGCATCCCCTTGATATGCCCGCAGTGAGTACCAGTATGAGAGGCATGTGGCGCTCCAGCGGTGCGTGTGTGCACTGGGGGGCAATGGGAAGGTGGGTGGGTCCGTTGGCAGCGATGCTGGCATTGCACGGAAGCCCAACACTCACGGTGCCAACGATCCTCACAGCGTGCTTTACATGCAGTTCCCTGGGAAGGAGCTTGGACTGCCTCTCTTTTGTAGAGTGTTCTCTGCCTGAGGCGGGAGGCGGAGGGCTCTATGAGGCTCTATCCCTCTCTATTCCCTGTATCACTCCTCCCTGCAAATCCTATCCCCTGGATCCGATCCGCCATATCCCCCATATCTCTGTCCCAATAACCAGTTCCCTGCTGCTCACTCTCCTTACCCTGGAGGAGCATCCCTCACTGCCATGCCCCACAGCCCGCGCCAGCTCGTATCCTCTGCCATATCATGTTCACAATCCCTGTTCTGCTGCTGCTCACTCTGCAGTGCTGCACCTCCCCTGGCTGCCATTCTGGGAGTGCATGGCTGCATGGCTTCCTCTCAGTGCATCCTCACTATGGGAAACGCCAGAAGCTGGGGCTGCAGGCACGCAGCTTCCATGCATCCTTTTTCGGGGCAGTATCCTTGGTTTTCTAATTGACTCAAAGGGTGAATGGAGCCACACTGTACCACATGGCTGGATTATACAAATGGGCTTCAGTTAACCGCTAAGCAGAACCTTGAGGTTTAGGGCAAACATCACATGATAATGACCAAGTGACTGTCTGACGAGCCACATTGCTGACTGACCAACCACGGTGTGGGTTAGGCGCAATCTATCAGAAATTCAAGTCATAGTGATAGAGAGAGAGTACACACAATATAGCTAAGTGTTGTACCCTCTAAGAGGCTACCCTATACAGTCTATACACACATAACAAATAGACATGTTTGACACAATCTGTTGTGTAGGCTGAGAAAAGCCCTTAGGATCTTTCAGAGACTACCGTAAGTCCCAGTTGAAGAATGAGACTTGAGTAATGCAGCGGAAGTTAAGGTAGTTGAACCCTTGTACTAGTATATGAGAAATGATAATTTTTGAAAGTGTTACACTCTTTCTAAAATTGTGTATTGTGAAAGTGGAAACGTGGCCAGCACAGCAAAGGTAGCGGCATGCTGCAACCCACCCTTTTTTTGCCTACAAAAGAGGGACGTGAGGCCAGTTGGCCTCACCCTCGTTCTTCATTTCCAGTTTCTAGTTTGAGTTCCCCATCTCGTCCAACCTGGCGAATACCCAATCCATTCCCCGCTTCAAGGCTCCAGCCACACTACTCATCGACATTCTCCAGCGCAACCTCGCAAATATGGCGCCAACGAACACGCCTCCAAACCAGGAGGTTAACAAGCCATCTACACCCGCCGTCGCTCCAGAGCTCGGAGGTTCGCCCGGGATAACCGACCGACACCAGAAACGCCCCACAGAAAATTTCGGCGAGGGCCCCTCTGGTGTCGAGGTCCTCCTCGGCACGTCGGAAGAAACACGCGCTCTTGCGAAGCAGCAGCGCGTGGCGTCAAACTTGGAGGATCGCGCGGCGGCTGCGAAGCAGCCGCGCGAAACTACCAAGTTGACGCACGCTGATGTGGACAACGTCGCTGGCGCGTCAGGGGGCCAGGCGGGCCCCACCTCGTCAAAGCGCCCTGTGGCACCATCCGAAGTCAACGCACCGGTCAACGCGCCAGTCAGCGCCGCCCCCACGCTCACTGCGCAGCAGCTGCAGGTGCTCCTGGCGCTGTTACACCAGCAAGCCCCATTACAGTCTGAACTTCTGATAACATTTCTGCTCCGACTAAAAATGATAATAAGAAATCGCCCATGCTCCCTCCTCGCGCCAACAAGACTCCACGCACCGACGACCCGGCCCCTGCACCTGTTCCTGCACCTGCACCTGCACCTGCACCTGTCGACAGCGACGACTCTAACAACGACGATGGTGAGGCTCCCAATAGTATCGCTCGTCGTTGCATTTTTCCTTCCGCCCCCCCTCTCCCTCCCCTTAACCCCTCACCCGCGGCCACCACCTTCATCCGAAAGGGGGTGCGGGACCAGGCGGAAGTCTTTGCCGCCATCCAGGCACACCTGAAGCACGTGGACTACAACCTCTAGCACGGCAACAATGAAACCGCCCTCTCCCAGGTCACGCACATCAAAGAACTCATCAACAAGCGCTTTGAGGTGCTTTTGGTGGCGGACGAGGCGGGCTTCGAGGCGGCGGACCGTTTCCAGTTGTACTAGTCAAAGAGCGTGCTCACCTCCCGCTCCTACAAGCATGCCGTCGCGGACATGGCGGCCCTCAAGCGCGCGCGCACCGGCTACACGCGCAGTCCCCGCATTGGCGGCCGGGAGAGTGACTTGGAGGGCAAGAGTGTTGGCGGCGCTGGCTGCCAGGAACCCCGTTTCAAGGGGGTCTGTTTTCGCTGTGGCCAGCCCGGTCACATGGCGAAAGTCTGCCCCATGGGGGGGCGTGGCGCGTATGGTCCCTCACCTGTGGTGTGAGGGGAATTAGGGGTGGTGCCCTTCGCTCATATGCCAGGAGCATATGTAATGTGCACCGGTGGTGTGGGGCTAGTTGTGAGCCTTGGGAATAGGCATAGGGACCAGAGGGTCCTACAAGCTTCAGCCCTAGGGGCAGAAATGGCTACAAGGCCTAGGTGTTAGATGCAACGTTTGTGTGTAGAGCACGTTCGCTCATGGTATAAGTCGATAGTCCGGGCTTTCATAATTATCATTATCATTGAAAAAAGAAAAGAAAAGAAAAGGACACTCCTTGAGGTTGCTGGCCGAAAACATGCAATGGCTCATGGGTAAGCCATGGTGCACACATTCACGGAACCAGCACAAACAATAGAAATAGCAACAAGCAAAAACAGCATGGAAATTTGTCGGGAGGCAATGATGCTTCACTCATGCCTCGAGCCATGCTGAAAGACACCAGCAACAACAGAAGAAGGATAAGGACAGGGAGGGAGCGCAAGCACAAAGGGAAGCAAAAGAGAAAACGAGAGACAGATCCAGAGAGGAAAGAGAGAGAGCGAGAGAGAGAGAGAGAGAGAGAGAGAGGAGAGAGAGAGAGAGAGAGAGAGAGAGGAGAGAGAAGAGAGAGAGAGAAGAGGAGAGAGAGAGAGAGAGGAGAGGAGAGAGAGAGAGAGAGAGAGGAGAGAGAGAGAGAGAGAGAGAGAGAGGAGAAGAGAGAGAGAGAGAGAGAGAGAGAGAGGAGAGAGAGAGAGAGAGAGAGAGAGGAGAGAAGAGAGAGAGAGAGAGAGAGAGAGAGAGAAGAGAGAGAAGAGAGAGAGAGAGAGAGAGAAGAGAGGAGAGAGAGAGAGAGAGAGAGAGAGAGAGAGAGAGAGAGAGAGAGAGAGAGAGAGAGAGAGAGAGAGAGAGAGAGAGAGAGAGAGAGAGAGAGAGAGAGAGAGAGAGAGAGAGAAGAGAGAGGAGAGAGAGAGAGAGAGAGAGAGAGAGAGAGAGAGAGAGGAGAGAGAGAGAGAGAGAGAGAGAGAGAGAGAGAGAGAGGAGAGAGAGAGAGAGAGAGAGAGAGAGAAGAGAGAGAGAGAGAGAGAGAGAGAGAGAGAGAGAGAGAGAGAGAGAGAGAGAGAGGAGAGAGAGAGAGAGAGAGTGAGAGAGAGAGAGAGAGAGAGAGAGAGAGAGAGAGAGGGAGAGAGAGAGGAGAGAGGAGAGAGAGAGAGAGGGAGAGAGAGAGGGAGAGAGAAGAAAGTGGATGAGGGAATAGAATTATGGATGGGTGTGAAACCCAAGGAGTATATTTGCTCAATGGGCACGAATCCGCTCACGCAGATAATGCAATCACCCTTGCCATCACCAGCATTATGCTCGCTAGGAGAAATAACCATTTCTGAGAGTCGGGTACATCGCGCGTTGCAAATCTTCAAGTGTCTCAAAACCTCAAGCTGACCTCACACCCACCCCCCTTTGATTGTCCCACACATGCTGCAGTTGATGGCAGCGCATGGCAGCCCTCAGAATGGGATCCATACGAATACGCAATCACAGATTGACAAGTGAGAATCATGCGGAGCCGATTACGACATGCACTACACTGGTGGTGCTCTTGGTGTGATAGCAGCTCCATTCTGTCAATCATCGCAAAGGGATATTGGTTGCCTTAGGCATGCGCTGCACTAGCTCTATTCGCCGATACCAATCACGCGGGCACACGGGCACACATGGACTTTACCCGCAGTGCCATCAGTGAACTCGTGGCTTCTGGATCCGCTGTCAAGGCCCCCTCCAAAGCAATGTTCACATGTGTTAGCCCGCTGAATGTGGTGGAGCAGCAAGACAAGTGCCGTCTCATTCTCGACCTATGCAAGGTCAACTCGCATCTCATTGTTCCCAAGTTCAAGTACGAGGGTTTGAGCCGTGTCGCTGAGATCATTCAGCCCAATGATTGGCATTTTTCGATCGACCTCAAGTCCGGGTACCATCATGTCGAGATTCATCCATCTTGCTGGAGGTTCTTAGGATTTCAATTCGAAAATGAGTACTACTACTTTTGGTCTCTACCATTTGGCCTTGCAACCGCCCCGTTTGTCTTCACTCAACTTATCAAACTGCTCGCAAAGCGATGGCGTGCGCGAAGTGTGCGGGTCGTTCCGTATGTCGACGACTTTGTCTTCCTATGTGACTCGGCTCAGCAGGCACGGTCCACATGTACCAAGGTTTTACAAGACCTCAAGGCAGCAGGCTTCGTCATAAATGCGACGAAGTCACATCTTCACCCATCCCAACAATTTCGCTTCTTTGGTCTAGAGTTGGACACAGCCCGGGCATGTTTTCGGTCGGCTCTGAACGACGGGAGCAACTCTTGAGCACCCTCCAGGCCCTCATCGTAAAAGGACAAGCTGGGCATCACATTCAGGTCTGGCAGATCGCCCGCGTTACCGGTATGTTAGCATCGATGGCACTGGCGCTAGGTGCGACAGCACGCGCCTTCAGCCATGAGCTACTACAAACCATCGCCCACGCCACATCTTGGAGCTCCAGGACGTTGCTATCACCGGCAGCAGTTGAAGAGTTATTGTTTTGGCGCACACAATTCGATCGATTCAACGGGGCGGCATTCCACTCAAGTCATCAGTTCGATGCCGTCATCCACGTCGACGCCAGCGCACACAGTTTGGGCGCCACCCTCACCACCTTTCCAGGATCTGCAACCGAAGCCAGCTCCTGGATGCCTGATGGGCCTCTTCCAACCTCTAGTACCAGGAGGGAGCTCGAAGGCGTCATATGGGCGCTACACACATTCGCATCTCGGATCGTTCGAAGGCACGTCCTCGTGCGGGTCGACAATCAGGGTGTCGCATTCATCCTATGCAAAGAGGCCTCTCGCCAACCCACTCGCACGCTCCTATGCCAGGAAATCAACAGTCTTTCTTTGGAGAATCTCATACGCCTCGATATTGAATAGATCCCACGCGAGTTGAATGCTCACGCCGATGAACTCTCCAAGATACAGAACCATCACGACTACACACTCAAAGCCCCCTAGTTTCGCCTTCTCGAGCGGAGGTGGGGCCCCCACTCTATTGATCTCTTCGCGAACACATATAACGCACTACCACGATACTGTTCCAAGATTCCACACCCGGGTGCAACCGCCATTGATGCGTTCTCAGTCTGCTGGCACGGCGAGCGCGGCTTCGCCTTTCCACCACCCAACCTAGTCCCAGCGATCCTTCGCCACGCACAACGGACCAAAGCCAAGTTGACTTTGGTTGTTCCCCATTGGTCTGGTGCATTCTGGTGGCCACTCCTCCAACCTTCACCCAACGTTTGGGCGTCGGGAGTTGTAGGTTATCTCCCTCTTACCCATGGAAGCCAATGTCTGCATCCTGGCACGCATGCAACCGCATTTTCGGGTTTAGGATTCCCTAACAGCCCCATAATTGCTTTGAATCTTGACTATAATAGATAATTCCTAATTTATGTGCATTTAATCTCAAGAATATCGCCCAAGCTGCAAAAACAACTATTGCAAGTCATCACCCAAGTCCGAGCCCCATCCACAGTCCAAACGTATGAGCCTTACTGGTTGAAATCTCGATCCTTTTGTATCACGACCAAGCTGAGCTTCTTACCTGCAACCGACCTGACCCTCGTGCTGTACCTTAACCATGCGCTCAACAATCACGCTACCGTGTCAGCTGTTTCCCTCACCTGCTCCGCTGTAGCCTTCGCACACCGCATGACAGAGGAACCCTCCCCGACGAGCGGCCCCTTCACGCTGCAAGTTCGAGAGTACGCCAAACGTCACAGACCGCGCCCTACTAGACACAAAGAGCCTCTCTCGCTGCTCCAAGTTCACAACATGGCCCGGCCCTTCCTCGAATCCACAATTCCGGCGGAATATTGGAAGGGTATGATCCCTCTAATCATGTTCGCGGCATTCTTGCACTACTTTGATCTAGTCGCGCTTCAATGGAATAACATATAGTTCGAGGAGGAGGTAATGTGGCTTCTAATCCCGCACTCCAAGACGGACTAGGAAGGCAAAGGCTCATGGATTCCAGTTCCCGCGACACAGGGGCCCTGTTGCCCGATTCGATGTACCCGCCAATTTATTCAGCTTGCCGGCCTTACACGTGTTAGGATTAAGGACGGAGTCTAGGTGAACTCAGGAGCTAGAATTACTCAATATAAATCCGAAATTCTGGACATAAAAGTCGTCTTCACAAGAAACGACGTCGACGAAAAACTAGCCGTTGGAATGTCGCGAAACTTGGATATCTTATAGCTCTTACTCTGAGCTACCGTTCCCAATTTGAATCACGTTGATTGATGAAGTATTCGCGACGCTATGGCTTTCGACACATTACGGGGTAAGCTGTAGGAGGAGAACTTAACTCAATCTCAAAAGTTCAATGAAAGTTCAAGAATCTCACAACGAATTAGAGGAGCAAGAGAAAGGTTGGGATAGAAGAGAGGGATGAGAGGGAAAGTCCCAAAAGAGTCCCCAACCAAGGAAACCCCATAAGCACAAAGATTCCCTCCCTATAGGAACCCCAACTTTGACATTTGTCCCTTCCCAACCAATCCATCCAAGTTGGCCACCCTTGCCAACCTAGCTTGGTTGTTCCCAACCAATTTGCAGCTGTTACAGTAGAGTGACAAATTTCCCCAACCCCCAAAGGTCCCAACTCCATATAGAGTCACCCCACAACTTCATTTTGTAACTGCCGCAATTGTAACGCAAGCTCATGAACTTTGAATCTTCTTAGCTTTCGCGTTCTTGCTCCGATTGAAGCGATTCTTGTTGCGTCGGAAAGATCTTCTCAAGATCTATCATCACAAAATACCTGCTCAAACAAAATAACACAAAACACATTCCCAAACTCCATAACACATCACACACAAATTCTTGCACACATTCAAACCACACATGCAAGTTGAAAACATGGGATGGGAGGCAGACAGAATGTGATAGCATATGATGACATCACACAACAACGCGCATGCCGCACGAGCTGCCCATTCAGGTATTCGGCAAAGGAGCACGCGCGACCCCGCAAGACAACTCCCCCTCGTACCCCACCATTCGCAACTGGTGCCTTGAAGCTTTCAAGAAGGCCGGCCTCGATGCCTCCCACCTCGGCACTCACTCTTTCCGCAAGGGCGCAGCCACGGCCGCAACCGGCCTGGGGGTCCCCGACCGTATCTTCAAACGTCTTGGCCGCTGGAAAAGCGATAGCGCAAAGGAGCTATATGTCACCATTGCTCAGGACCAGCTCGTTGCAGTCTCCAACCAACTACAAGACACCTCCACAGCCCCTTCACCTGCCCGACATCAACAATCGATCGAGCGACACCGGCGACCCTCGATGCACATGCCTCAGAATGCCCATCTGAAATGAAGCAAGCTGCCTCTGCAAGATGGACTAAGCAACTTTCACAATACGATAATTCTTTAAAGTGTTACATGCTTTCTAAAATTGTGTATTGTGCAAGTGGAAACGTGGCCAGCATAGCAAAGGTAGCAGCGCGCCGCTACTCACCCTCTTTTTGCCTACAAAAGAGGGATGTGAGGCCAGTTAGCCTCAACCACGTTCTTCATTTCCAGTTTCTAGTTTGAGTTCCCCCCCACCCTCCCTCAAATGTATGTGCGCTTAGCAACGAGAACTATGTAACCTTCCCATCTGAAATGAAGCACGCTACCTTTGCAAGATGGACTAAGCAATTTTCACAATTATACTGTATTCCCCCGGATATACACACTGCCGGCTAAAACGCACCATGGTGCGTATATCCGGAGGGGTGCCATATCAGAGGTGCCATCTATATGCACCGTATTATCACAGGTTTCTAATCCCTACAAGCACCCCCCCCCCCCAAATAGCTTCGATTTCATGAATTGACAGTTCATTAAGACAACTTCACTTTGTAATTAGATGTAAAAAATCACATCTATATTAGTCAACTTCTACAGTTAGATCATCTACCATGGTCTACACCCTACACCTCGACTACCTAAATAGATGCACAGCCTCCAATTTCTATGAGCTTCGCCTCGTCTACCAGGTCCTACAGTCGTCGCCTCGTCCACGTGCACTCCCTTCTTCCCTTCATGTCAACCCTCCTCCTCCTCCTCCTCCTCCTCCTCCTCCTCCTCCTCCTCCTCCTCCTCCTCCTCCTCCTCCTCCTCCTCCTCCTCCTCCTCCTCCTCCTCCTCCTCCTCCTCCTCCTCCTCCTCCTCCTCCTCCTCCTCCTCCTCCTCCTCCTCAACTGTGG